TTAAATCAGTTCATTAGAATTTATACACGCTTACAGATGCCATTCCTCTAAGAACCGCAAAATAACAAGAAGATACGCTAGCCGATGTATCAGAAAAGAAGCCCCTGATAAGAGTTTTTCCTGTGATACTTAAACTGTAATTTTTCCTCTCTCAAATTGGTTACCACGGCTTGGTCTTAGCTGGAAAAAGTAAAAATTGATGCTAAATTCCACTTAGGCTTCAAGGACACGGCGAAACTGTAGAACTAGAGACGTTAGCACAAAGAATGCCACAAATGTAAGCAGAACTGCCTTTGGCAATCAATTGACTTCTTAATCAATTAGGTCGGACACCGTCGCATGAGAGAGAGAGAGAGAGAGAGAGAGAGAGAGAGAGAGAGAGAGATAGCCATAAAACTACTCTTAAGTCTTAATATCTGCAGACATATCGATGACCAAAACTCGATTGCAGTATACAGCCTGGCTCCTCTACTGTGCCAGCAGTACAAGACTGCTGGAATAGTAACTATTTACATTTCAACACCATATTTATTTGAAAATGTTATTATGTTAGAAGAAGCTAGCAAAGAGTTCTATCTACTGCTGAGCGCAAAAGAAGCGGCAAACCAAAGCCTGCAGCTCTTGATCAGCAGCCCCATTGACTTAAAAAAAATCAGGATGTGATCATCTTGGCTTGCAAACAGCACAAAGTGAATGCAAGAGACTGCAGATTTATACCAAACTCCATTTCAAGAATTGACTTGTAGAAGGAAGACACTTGCTCGAGTAAAGACGCACAAAGATGAGGCAGTCGGCTTGTTGCATGAGAAAATCCACGTTATGCAACTAATATTGAATCTAGCAAAGAATCTAGGTACTCCTTTAGCTTCACCTTCTTTCCCATTCTTGAAGAGAATCGGTGTTGGCAATCCGTAAACTCTGTACTCTTCTATGAACTCTGGTTTGCATCATGATCAATTATTACAACATACAATATTTCTTTGTATTCCTTCAAAATGATTAAAAAGAGTGCCTCGGAGATTTGGAAAGGCACGTTCTTGTAAAAATATCATGCATTAAGTGTGACCATAGTTAAATATTGAAAATTAGATTAGTCAAGGGAATTGACCATTGACATTTGATTTAAGAGAGATTAATCAATAGAATAGACCATTTATGGATTTGTTATTGTTGATTTGATATGTAAAAAGTTTTGTTGTTAAACCACATAGCTCATGTTTGATATTTTAAATATTTGTAAACTAGATATGGAATTGATAAGTTATGATATCGTTTTATAAAAATGCATAGTGAATGTTCGATCTGCTTAAAAGAAATGTACTATTCATTGAGTTGTGGTTGCTTACCCCATTCATTCTAATCTTTTTCAAGTTCTAACGAGTAGTACGAGAGAGCGATATCAACAGAAAACTTATGAATCCAGTTAGTTGGATATGTCTAAAATAATATATGTTAAGATTTAGTTTCTTAGCTTGGGAAAATATATATTGTTGACGGATTTTAAAACTCTGATTCTGTAACCAGATCATTGTTCTATTGGATATTTAAATAGAGATATATATTCAGGCAATAGGATAATGTTGGCTATGTTTGAGGCTTGCAGCCTTTGGCATGGCATCTCATTTTTTCTTGTAGGATTTGGGACGTGACAGTCACGCTACACGCCAAATAAAGGAGAGTGAGTAATGATGCATTGCGGCAGGGTAAGAACTCCCAACAAACGGAAATGTTATCGATGTAATCTGAGCAAGAATCAAGGCCATCTGCTGCTGCTGCTGCTGAAGGAGTAGGATTGGACTTGGCTCCTGCATTCGGAGCATATTTCCAATTGGGTATGGAGACAGTATTCTCAAAAAATTTCATAATGCAGAGTTAGCATCAATTCACTCTATATTCCACTGTCCAAAAGAATACTTGACAGAATGCTTCCCGACTCTACGAGATCTTATAATGCTTGAAGAGGAACCGGCATCTTTGCCCCATTAGGATTATCGCATTTTTCAAGATTGGATAGTTCCCCTATTGCAGACATGGAAACTCTCTCCTTCACCTGCTCTTTTTAGCGTTCGCGCATAACCCTTCAATAAGCACGTGATAGACATAGAGTGCTGTATCACGAGGAATACCCGACTATATCAATTTATCAAACTATTGGAGAGAAGGTAACAACAAAGACCCACATAAATATAGAAGACATAAGGACAACAATGCCTCCTCTCTTTACGGATTTCCTTACCATATTCGTGCGAGAAGCTGTCTCCTCATTTCCTCCGCCGACTTCCCTACAGAGGCTATTGCCGCATCTGCAGTCCGGTAGCACGGCCAATTGCTCAATTCATCAATCCCCAAGTAGCTCGTGCCCATAAGAGGGTGGGTGGGGACGCGATCGGGGTCGACATACTCGTCTTCCCAAGTCCGAAGCATGTCTGGGCGGACGGCGGCTTTGTACTCGGGCATGTGCTTCTTACTCCATTCGAGCACCTTCTTTGGGTTTGCCCTGTTGGTTCTCAGCAGCGAGATGACCTCGACGGCCTTCTCTACGAGTTGGCTCATGAATCATGATTGCAAGGCCATGGCCACATCACAAGGCGACAGCCATCTCGACCTTGAAAACTTGGCCTTCAGAGAAGGGGTGAGCACGGGAACCGGACCGAATCGACCGGTTCTGGGCGATTCTCGTGGGAACTGGTCCGAACCTGACCGAACCAGCTAGTTCTAGGCGGTTCCCAATTCCTAAAATTTTGGGATAAGTGCACCAAAAGTCCTAAAACTCATGAAAGTACAATTGAGTCATAAAAATTTAAAAAAATGCAATCAAATCATAAAACTTGTTATCATTTTCCGTTTGTTAAATTGGGTGAAGTTAATAGAAGGACTTGATTGCACCAACTTGATAAGTTTTAGGGATCCATTGAACTTTTTAAAAGTTTTAGGATTTATTTGCACTTTCGTGATATGTTTTAGAACTTAATTGCACTTTCATGAGAAATTTTAGGACTTCTAGTACATTTATCCGTAAAATTTGGAATCGGCGATTATTGCTCCAATTCTCGGTTTTACCCACCCTAACCGTCCGAATTGGACCGATAGTTTTTTTGTATAATTTTTATTATTACAAAATATTTCTTAAAACCCTAATTTCCCATTCTCTCTCGCCACTCATCCCTCTCAGCTCTCGCTCAGTCTCACACCGTCACGCAACGCCTCCCTCGATCCCTCTGCTCACTCCGTCTCACGCCTCTCACTTCTCATTCTCAGTCTCACGCGGTGACGTGCCTCTCTCCTTCGGTGTTTGTTCTGTTATGCACATTTTCCCTTAATTTTTTAAGTGCAGAAATTCCAATGGAGATTAGGAATCCAAGAGTGTTCGAATAATTAAATATTAAATTACGAATTTATCTAATCGCTTAACTTTTTTTGAACAGTTGGTAGTGATCCCACAAAATCTTACATGGCATTAGAGTAAGAGTTTTTGAGTTCAAATCTTTCCGAACCCTATTTGCCTTCCCAATTAATATGTCCACACTAAGTATTAGGAAAAAAAAAAGATTGGGTAAAAAAGACCAGACTAAGCAAAATGGAGAGTCTTCATCTAATAGTTTAAGCTTTTAAAACAGTTTACACTAGTCCCACAAAATCTTACTGGGAGGAGGTCTATTTCTATTTATGGCAGTGTTACATAATTAGAGTGTGCTGACTAACAAATGAGTTAACAAACGATTTTGCATAGGAAAAGAAAAAAAACAGAAAGATATCCTTGTCGGTTCTTAAACCCGCCGAAAACTAGACCGAACTGGTCGGTCTGGTTCAATTCCAGAACCAGGTGAGTGGTTCTCGGTTCCTGAAATTGGAAACTGATCCTTTCGATCCACTTTCCAATTCTAAGATAGGAATCGACCCACCCTATAACCGATCACCCCTATTTTATAGAATTTGAGTAGATAAAACCTAGCATGTCCCTCCGACATCAATGATGCATTGATTAGGCGATGTACCAAGAAAATTCTTAAGGAAAGTTTAGAGAGAATGAAACAATGGAGAGTGGCGTAACTGTATAGAGAGGGAAAGGGTTTAGGGCTTAAGAATATTTATTCAATATATCTATAGATATTAGAGAAAAAAATTATTAGATTAGAGATATTATTAGATATTAACAATATTATTTGACACTTCGTTACGATGGATGGTTTAGATTAGTTTACTTCGCAAGCGATACACATTATTCGATATGAATATCCCTCAATTTTAATACATGAAGATATAAATTTTGTGAAATTTTCTATCTCGTTCCCTAAGATCCTAGAATATTTACCGGAAGCATAATATAGAAAAATGTTAGTGTAGGGGTTTCTCTGATCAAAGTCGGATTGGATTTATGGAAATATTTCTTTGGGAAGTTAGGGGGTGCAATTATACTGAAAATATATACACATTTAAGCATTTTTTTATAAAATTAAATATGATTATAAAAATTTGTATGTAATCTCTATTTGAATGTGCAACACATTGTCCAGTTCTGCCTAAAGTACGAGAATCACCTGTAATTAACAATAAACAGATCAGAAACGCTCTAAAAGTAAGTGGATAAGGACGCAAAATTGAAACAACAAAAAACAAAAATCAGGATTAGCACGAATAGATAATGCCAATTATCCAGCAATTTAGATTGGAGAACTTATCAGAATTTCCAGTACATATCCTTTGGCAATGCAAAGAGATAAAAAAGTGTTTCGCCAAATAAAGAAGGAGACCAATGCCCTGCCAGCATGTACAAGCTATATCTCTCTTTGCTCTCAAACGTTAATCTTTCAAGAAGACACGTCACTTCAAGGCAACAGACCCTCGGGTCTTTTCTATATTTGCAACATGGTTGTTAGGACATAAACCTGTCTTCATCATAGATCCAAAAAAGGGCCTTTCGAAATCTCTATATAAAGCTCAATCAGACTCTAGTTCGATATAAGCTATCGAACTTTTCAGGGTCTTTCCTTTGCCGGGTTTTTGGTGGTGTGAATCGAGAACTCGAGTACCATACCATTGAAAAACTGGAGGGCGGTTCGATACCGAATATTAATCCACATTAAGGTTGGGAGAGATGGCAGTAGGGGGAAATTTTGCAGCTCAAGGACTGGGTGCGAACTATGAAGGTGGCATCACGGCTTTCGTGGTCGTCACCTGCGTTGTTGCGGCCATGGGCGGTCTCCTGTTTGGTTATGACCTCGGTATCTCAGGTCGGTCACTCATTAGCTCACAGTTCAAGCTTTGAGACAGTCGACTTTCTAAATTATGCGCGCGCATCTCGAACGAACAAATTTTTTCAGTTATGAATCGTCAGAAGCAGATGATCATGCTATTACGTGATTCGTCTTGCTTTTGCAATGAATGTAGATGAACCGTTTTACTTGTTTTTGCAGGTGGGGTTACTTCAATGGACGATTTCTTGCTCAAATTCTTCCCATCAGTGTACCACAGAACGAAAGACGGGTCGGTCCACGAGAGCCAGTACTGCAAGTACGACAACCATTTGCTGACCCTGTTCACCTCATCTCTCTACCTTGCGGCCCTTGTGGCTTCCTTCGCCGCATCGAAGGTCACCAGGGTCTATGGCCGAAAGATCTCCATGTTCTTGGGAGGCCTGGCCTTTCTCATCGGTGCAATCCTCAACGGCATCGCTATGAACATCACAGTGCTGATAATTGGCCGTTTATTGCTCGGTGTCGGGGTTGGATTTGCTAATCAGGTAAAACTCGGCTGCTATGCTGCTCATTCTCGTGCATTGTTTTAAGCTGCAAATTAAAGTCTTGCTTTTTGGTTACCATCGCAGTCGGTTCCGGTCTATCTGTCTGAAATGGCGCCACCGAAGATCAGAGGAGCTCTCAACATCGGCTTCCAAATGGCCATCACAATCGGCATCCTGGTGGCCAATTTCGTCAACTACGGGACTGCACAGATCAAGGGAGGATGGGGCTGGAGAGTCTCTCTGGCTCTAGCCGCCGTCCCCGCGATACTGATGACCCTCGGATCCATCTTCCTGCCGGACACTCCTAACTCCATCATCGAAAGAGGCCACCGCGAGGAGGCCAAGAGAATGCTTCAGAAGGTCCGCGGGACCGAGCATGTGGACCACGAGTTCCAGGACCTGGTCCGAGCCAGTGAGGCCGCGAGTAAGGTCCAGCATCCCTGGAGGAACATATTCGAGCCGAGGTACAGGCCTCAGCTCGTGATCTGCTTCCTCGTCCCGTTCTTCCAGCAGTTCACTGGCATCAATGTCATCATGTTTTACGCACCCGTTCTGTTCAAGACTTTGGGTTTCGGTGACGACGCTGCCCTCATATCTTCAGCCATCAGCGGCGTTGTGAACGTCGTCGCAACGTTGGTTTCGATATTCTCGGTTGACAAGCTTGGAAGGAGAGGCTTGTTCCTCGAAGGAGGAATCCAGATGATAATTTGCCAGGTAAAACTAAAACATGTGCAAGCTAATATTGGGGGCTTTAAGTTTTAACCTGAGTATAAGCAAAAATCAACGAGAAATTTTGGTCCTTGAAATTGGATTTGATTAAGAAAATCCGGAATAGTCAGATGCTAACATAGTACTTACAGCAGAAGACCCACCTTCGAAGTCATTCCTTAGTTTCCTTTTCTGCTAATGGTTTTGGATAACTCGAAAAGATCCATATTCTTCATCTGAAATTTGAAGAAGAGAATCACATTATCGACAAATTCGGATAGTTTTGCAATGGCCATAGTAACGCATAGTGAAGACGGAAAGTAATCTCATCGCGTAGTGAATCACAATCGCAACAAAGTTGGTTACCGTTAGTGATTGCACCTGCTAATGGGTGTCCACATTACAGATTGCGGTAGGAGCACTGATTGGCGCAAACTTCGGAGTCGCCGGTGAAGGATCCTTTTCCAAAGTCGAAGCCAATCTGCTCTTGGCATTGATCTGCTTATACGTAGCGGCATTCGCGTGGTCATGGGGTCCGCTGGGGTGGTTAGTGCCAAGCGAGATCTGCCCGTTGGAGATCCGGTCGGCTGGCCAGGCGATCAACGTCTCGGTCAACATGTTCTTCACCTTCATCATCGCTCAAGGGTTCCTCTCTATGCTCTGCCAAATGAAGTTCGGCCTCTTCTTCTTCTTTGCGGGCTTCGTGATCGCCATGACCATCTTCATATTCTTCTTCTTGCCGGAGACGAAGAACGTGCCGATCGAAGAGATGAACAGAGTGTGGAAGGCGCATTGGTTCTGGGGAAAGTACATTCCCGACGAGGCCCTCATAGGTGAGGACCCCTGAGAAATAGACATTTTTGCAGAAAGTAGCACAAAGAAGAACTTACTGGCTTCTATCATTCAAAGAAGGCAACACAAATTGGAAGGGCGATTTATTTGATTCTGTTTTCTCTGCCAAAACATGTGTACATCTTATTCTTTGGTAAATCATCTGCACATGTTGTGCTGAAAGCAAAAGAATTGCCTCTACTTGTCTCGATTTAAGTCCTTTCTCTTTCTTATTTTCCAGTAAAATGATGTGGAGAGTTGATTTAGAGCGGATATAAGTACCATGTACTTGAAAAAATAAGGGTCTCCTAAGCAAGTGTTCTCGTGATAAATAAACCAAGATTAGGTTCACAAACTCAGGGCTACCAGTATGGTGGTTTAGGTATCGGCGCAAGGCAATGAGACTGAACAACAACTTGCAGTTAACAAGTTCAATGTCAAACGAGGAACTGAGCTACAGTTTGAAGCATCTCTACCGGAGAATGCGACGGTGCATCGTTTACTGTCTTACGAATCACAATAGTTGAAGTCCCTGGTTTGCTTCTGGGAAAAATGGACCACGAACTACTAAACAATTGCATCGACCCCGAGTCAGCCAAGGGTACTTTTCCACGCCCTGGTACTGTTCATCCGGTACTATTCAGGTTTCTCTCCCGATTGTAGGCGATTGGGTACTGTTCACCCGCTGGGTTTCACTATGATTCTCGGCGTTTAGATCAGCGATTCTGGCTGATACTTGGTGCTGGGCTTCGCCAGACGCTACCTAGTCACCTGTCCGAAGGATTTCACTTACGGTGACCTATACAAGTCGGAGTTACAGATCTGGGATTTCTGAACTGTTCACCCGCCTGGGTTTTCTGGGTTTCGAGTGTCTCGCTGCTCCTTTCCTTCTGGAAATTTGACGGTTTTGTCGACAAGCTTCACACTTTGTCCTGGTGAGTCCTTCGCCTCGTATTTGATTTATTGTGGGAACAGATTTGGGCTGTTGGATTTCTGGGTTTCAGCGAAACTGTTCATTCTAGCTGCTTCTGGGTTCCTGGATTTTTCTGGAGCTGTGTTGTTCTGGTTCATATCTGATCAAAAGTGTCCCCCTTATAGTCCCTTACTTTTCTTGTTCCTAATACTTGGGTTGTGTTCGTTGGGACTCATAATGTATTCTTTGGAGTGAAAACCATGGCCGAAAAACCCATGGCGGAAAATCCCGTTTCTCGATTGTTGGTCTCTGAGCCGCAGGATGTTGATTCATTGGTGACAGGCAAACATGTGAAAGCTGTTAATGTTGATGCTTCTGATGCCACCCGCAGATCTACTTCCTCGACGGTGTCTGCAAAACCAAAAACCCATGCTTCCATTAGTGCAGTGCAAGCACCTGTTGCTAGAACTTTGCCTAAGTCTAATAAATCTGGCACAATTATTTCCAAAGACAATGACCTTCAAGATCAAAGGTCTCGCAGTAGAGGCCAAAGCAGTGGAAGATCCATTGCTAAATCCCACCATAGAACTCTGAACATTGCCAGGACCTCTACAGACCAACAAGTTGTACCAATGACTGGTACTGACCGCAGCACTAGTAAAGGGAATCCACCTTCCAAAAATGCTCCCCTTGATACAAAAACTCAAGGAACGCAACGTTCGTGGGTAGCTGTTGCAAGGACAGCCGAAAAGGGCTATGGCCTATCATTTATCCCCCAACCATCGTCGATGGTAAACCGTTGGTACAAATCTCGGAAGCTATTCTGGAAGACTTGAACCCCAAATGGAAGGAATGCCTTGTTGGGTATTTTGTGGGCAAAAAACTGCCCTTTAAGCTCACTGAGACTGCAATGAAGAACGTATGGGGAAACAACCTCATCGATGTAATGGCAAATGGGGATGGTTTCTACTTCTTCCACATCCCCGACGAGATTTTTCGCCGGAAAATCCTTGATGGTGGCCCCATCACTATCTTGCGTGTGCCTATGATTTTAAAACAATGGCAACCCAATCTCAAGCTCATCAAGGACCAGCATCAATCCATTCCAATATGGGTGAAACTTAGGGACATCCTCTGTGCATTATGGTCGGCCTCTGGAATTAGTGCAATTGCCAGTGCACTTGGCAAACCACTTCATGTGGATACTCAAACTGAGAAAATGAGAATGCTCTCTTATGCCAGAGTTTGCATAGAAATCAAGGCCACCCAAGACATGTTAGACTCGATTGACGTCAAACTCAATGATGAAATATGGATTGTCAAGGTTGAATATGAATGGAGACCTATCTCCTGTATACCCTGTGGCACTTTTGGCCATAGATGCCCCGCACCTAGCAAGGAAACTAACCCAGAAAAGGAATCGTCCCCCCTTGCTGATCATGTTGCTCCCTCCCCCCCCCCCCCCAGCGGAAGAGCCTTGGCAGTTGGTAAACAAAAGAAAAGGGGCTGGTAATTCCAGGAACATGCCTTCCTCACCCGCTGCTGATCATCCCACTACTTCGGCAGTAGCTCCTATTCTGGCCCCTGATCCACAGAGTTCCCCCTCCCGGTCCAAGGCGGAAACATCCGGACCCTCGGCCCCTCCCAGGTCTCCCCGAAATGGCTCTTCTTCATCCTCTGATTCAAGTGAATCCAACAAAGACGTGGCTAGTGAAATGTCTAGTGATCCAGACTCTCCAGCTCCGGGACAGACTGCATCACGACCCAATGTTTCTATACACAAGGGATGCTGCCCTGTAAATCTCGCCTCCTGCAATGAACTACCTGGCGTGAGAACCCCCTCGAGTTGGCCCGTCATGCCCTGGAAAGGATGTTTCTGTTGCCACTTTGCTGGCCCTAATAGAAGCAGAACCTGCTCCTGTTTGTAAGCCCCCTTTGACTAAACAGGCCACCCCCAGATCCAGGAGGAGAGGTGGTATAAAAAAGCAGTAACACTCCTTCCTCTCCTTAATGTTTTTTGGCGTCTGGAATATCAGGGGTCTTGTTCAACCCCTCAAACATGCGGAAATTAGAGCTTTTATTAGAACTAATAATCTTTCTTGCATTGGTATCCTTGAGACCAAGGTTAATCAATCCCGTTTTGAATCTATATCTACTGGCTTATTATCAAGTTGGGATTGGTCTTCAAATTACAATTCCTCCTCTCGAGGCAGAATTTGGTTGAGTTGGAATCCGCAGGAATTGGCCTTGGAAGTTTTGTCTTCTTCTTCCCAAGCCATTCATACTCGTGCAAGATTGCTGGCTCTTGGTAAAATATGCTACTTTTCAGTTATATATGGCGAGCACACCTTTCTGAACCGCCGTACCCTTTGGGCTGATCTAATTCATTCTAGTTTGCTATTCTCGGATTTTCCTTGGGTTGTGGCTGGAGATTTCAATGCCATTCGTCACCAATCAGACAGAATTGGTGGCACAAACTCATGGATTCCAGCCTTTGATGAATTTGGTTCTTGCCTGGACGAAGCTGGACTTGATGATTTAAGGTATGTGGGGCATAGATATACATGGTCCACATCCTTTGGCATTTTTCGCAAACAAAGGAAAATAGACAGAGTTCTCATCAATGAGCAATGGAGCCGCCAGTTCTCCTTCTCTGAGGCCTCTTTTCTTGCTCTGGGAATCTCTGACCACTCGCCTATGATTATCATAATCTTCCCCATTCGACCATCAAGAAAACCATTCAAATTTTTCAATTTTTGGATGGTTCATCCTTCTTTCTTGGAAACGGTCAACCAGGTATGGGACTTAGATATTATGGGTTCCCCTATGTTTGTGCTTTGCAGGAAGCTCAAAATGCTTAAAGGTCGCCTCAAACTTCTCAATAGAGATTCATACTCTGATATTTCAAAACGAACCGCGCAGGCCAGATTAGCCTTTTCTAATACCCAGGATGCTCTTGCTTCTGATCCTTTTAACATTGTTTTGGCCCAACTAGAAAAGGAACAATCCCGGATTTTCTCGGAACTACGTCTTCAGGAGGAATCCTTCTATAAACAAAAGTCAAGGATAAAATGGCTGACAGAAGGTGATTGCAACACCAAGTATTTCCACCATTTTGTAAACAAGAGACACCTTCACAATCGCATCATTTCGGTTGTTAACTCCAATGGTGAAATACTTAATGACCCGGAATTGGTTCAGCAGCACATTGTACATCACTTTGAAACGTTACTTGCGGCTGACAGTTCAACCTCTCCGCCTGATATCAATGCCATTCGGAACTCTCTCCAACATAGGCTGGATGATGATCAGATCCTTCTGCTCTCTCGAGAGGTGACGGTTAGTGAAATTCGTAATGCCATATTTTCCTTGGCCAAAGGCAAGGCTCCTGGCCCTGATGGGTATAATGTTGATTTCTTTAAATCTAATTGGGATATTGTTGGCTCATCTGTCACCTCGACAATCACTGATTTTTTTCAGTCTAGATCATTGTTAAAAGAACTCAACACTACTATTCTTGCACTTGTGCCGAAGGTACCAAATGCCCAGTCGATGAATGACTTCAGGCCTATAGCATGTTGCAACACCATTTACAAATGTATAACCAGAATTTTGGCTAACCGCATCTCCAATGTTCTGCCAACTCTTATCAGTCCCTCCCAAAATGCTTTCGTCAAGAATAGGAGGATTACTGACAATATCCTCCTGGCTCAGGAATTATTTGCAGGCTTCCAACATGAACCCTACCTTCCAAAATGTGCCATCAAGGTTGATTTCCAAAAAGCTTATGACACTCTTGACTGGAATTTTCTAGAAGTAGTCCTGCAAGCTTTCTGTTTTCCACCTATTATGATCAAGCTTATAGTGGAATGTGTCACCTCTCCGAAATTTTCGGTGGCTATTAATGGTGAACTACATGGTTTCTTCTCTAGTGGCCACGGTATTCGACAAGGAGATCCTCTCTCCTCTTATCTTTTTACACTGGCTATGGAAGTATTCTCAGGCATCCTTAACCATCAAACTAGTCTGACTGGTTTCAAATTTTTCTGGCGCTGCAAGGCCACCAGACTTAGCCATCTTTTTTTTGCCGATGATGTTCTCCTCTTTTCGGAAGCAAACTTGGAATCCATTAATCTTCTACAGGAAGGAATTCGATTATTTTCTTGCTGGTCTGGCCTCTCGCCAAATGTAAATAAGAGTGAGATTTTCATATCGGGTGGTTCTACGGAACTGCGAACCCAGATTTTACA